GAGCCTCCTTCTTAATGCCCGGCTCCCATGGCCTTGCTTGGTGAGTTTGATGACACCCCGTCATGCCCCTATGGGCGCCTTACAAACCAGGATCTGGGTGACTTGATCTCAAGTTCAAAGCATCTGAGAGTCCAAGATACCTCCCCCATAGGACCACAGGCATCCAGCAAAAGAATGTTTTCAAAATACAGCAGATAAGTGAAAACACCGAGTCGACCAGTGTTAGGACAGACAGCATGTTAGTTTAGAGAAGAGGGAATATGGGTTCATGCACAATTCTCACCTGTCTGACACGCAGCATTGCTTCCTGTGGGGCGGGGGCTAGTCCCGGGAGATTCTTCACTGAAAGCCTTTTGAATTTCGCGCTGTGAGGTTCCATCCCTACAGAGCTGGCCCATGGAGTACCGAAACGGCCCCAGAACCAGTGAGTTCTGGGCTCCAGATGGCACTGCGAGTGTCACGCCAGACAATAGACCATGATCTTCTTCCTTTTTTAATTGTATCATGAATCTTTCTGGCTTCTGCAGTTTCTACAGTCCGTGTTCACAGACACATGCGGTTTTTGTGCAGAAGAAAGAATGCTTTTTGTAAAACAGCAGGGAACTAAGGAAATGACAAAGGTGGGTAGAGCTGGGGACGGACTGTTGCCTCTCCGGTTCGATCACCCTTGTGGAAACCGACCTGAAAGGGGGTTGAGCTCGGGATGGAGAGCAGTTGCATCTGACACTCTGGCAAAGCTGGCTGAGCTACTTCATCTCTGGGTTCTAGCTGCACACCTTTATGGAGGGGGCATTACGTCCTTCCCGAGCGGTTCGAGATGAAAATCGTGTGTGCATCTCCTGCCCCGAAGTGGCTATTAGAAATCCAACATGAGCCTCTGACTCTAACCTTTTCCCTCAGTGATGGGAACAGTGATCGGTTGGCCCTCCGTGCCCCCCCCCCGGGTTGTTGGGGACGTCACATGGGGTTCAGGCCCCGTGCTGCCCAGGTAGAAAGACAGCAGTGCGGAAGGGCCCAAGTTAGAAGACAGTGCTCTGTGTCATCGTCCTCCTGCCTGGGACGTTAGCGCACAGGTTGGCGGCAGCTACTTCACTTGGACTCAGAAATGGTGCCGCAGTTTCTTTGGGGATGGCACTGAGCTGTATCTTAATCACCAAGACGGTGCCATTTTAGTTAAGTAAACAGTAACTGGGTGAGTTTGAACTGAAACCTGGAACCATGTTTTCCACTGTAAGAGAGAACCTTTTGGTTGGCTTGGATGGCAGCAGCTTCGCACTGCAGATGGAGCCCGGGGGTCTTCTTCCTAGCCAGGAATCAGGCAGCTCTGTGACCCTGGGTCTGTGTCTCTCTTGGAGCCCTTTGAGGGGGCGGGGGCTTGGAAGGGCACTTCTGGCTGGGAAGCTTGTGATGTGGTGGTGACCAGTCTCTGGTGCACACTGAACGAGCCTTGTAAGCTCTGGGCTCAATTTTGTTTCTACACTAAATAGGTTTGTTTGAATGTACAGGTCAGTACAGAGAGACCTCCTTAGGTATCAAGAAAAAGAAAATTTTACATTTTTACTGTTTTTAATCTGAAAAATAAGAAATCACAGTAACAGTGATAAGTTACCTCTGGAGACACATGACATTGAATGATGAAAACAGGGTCGTATTGCCAGAGCCTTATGGCTCCAGAAGGTCCATAAAGTCTTAGCTCCTGAACTGGAGGAGAGGGACCGAGGGCCTTCCGCGTCCGAGGCCAGGGTGGAGACAGGCCTGAGAGAGGCGGCAGGCTCCGCTCTGTTCAGAGCCTGCGCTCTGTCCTCCCTAGCAGTTCAACGCCATCAGACCAATTCTAACTGGAAAAGCTCGCCCTACCGGCTTGGAGCAGTCCCACATCCTGTTTCTCCTCTGCAGGGCCCAGTATAAGTGAGGGGCTCCCCCGAGTTCTTAAGTCTTCATCTTCTGAACTGGTGTGCGCTGGCAGCAGGTGGTCGGACCCTTGGTCCTGGGGTTTCCAGCCCGGGGTTGCCTGGAGCTGAAGATGACCCTCCAACTGCACCTGCCCAGTGCCACCCTCTGGGTTTCTGTGTTTCTGACCATGGCTTTCAGTCAGCCTTCGGTTTTGCTATTTAAAAAATATTATTCTTTAAGGTGAAAAACATTTTTAAATAGCTCTATAAACTGTAATTAACAAAATAGGAACCACACCTTTAACGTGTAAACTCGGCATTTTTCAGTGCTCAGTTATGCAGTCATTACCACTAATTTTAGAACATTTTCTTCGCACCAAAAGGGGACCCCCATACCCATTAGCAGTCATTCTCAGTTCCTTTTACCTCCATTCCCTGGCAACCGCGGCCTGTTTTCTCCGTGAATTTGCCTCTTCGGCCCGTCGCACGTAAACGGGCCCCTCCAGGGCCTGCTCCTCCGTGTCTGGCGTGGGTGCTTCATGCTCCGCTGTGGCCGCCGGACGTGCCGCGGAGGGCGCAGCGCGCTTCGTCCGTCCTCGCAGCTGGGCGTCTGCTGCGTCCACTCTGGCTGTCGTGGGCAGTGCTGCTGTGAACATTCGTGCGCAAGTGTTTGTGTGGACGTCTGTGTTCGTTACTCGTGGGTAAACACCCAGGAGTGAAATTTCTGGGCCATGTGGCAATTCTGGGGTCAACACGGGAAATACAGTCACTACTATGATAACTGAGTGGTGCCAGCTGCCGGGGGTCACTTCGTAAGTTACGTGAACGTCTAACCACCACACTGCACACCTGACACTGATACAATATTGAATGTCGGCTGTAACTGAAAAATGAAAATATTTTTTTAAAAAACAGTTGAGATGGTAAGTTTTATGTTATGTGTATTTTGGCACAATAAAAAATGGGGAAAAAATGCTTTTCTATATCACACTTCATGTCACAGCTCTTTTTCAGACCTTGGAGCTCATGCAGCATCTGAGCCATGTTCACCGTGTAACTTGGCTGACAAAGCCTCATTACCAAACAGATCAGGCTCGCTTTCTGTCAGGAAAAAGTCTGGACTCATTTTCATTTCAAATCACTGTATTGTACATCTGGAACTAATATAACCAATATCAGATTATATACCAACTATACTTAAATAAAAATAAATTAAAAATTAACATATTGACATATTTTGAGAAAATCATTAAAAGAACTGAGAAACAAATTGAGATGCACTTAGATCAAGTGCCAAACGCAGTTATGACTAAAACATTGCAGATCTGACTTCTTTAGCACGTGCTGTTTCTCACGGCTTAAATACAGGACGTGGCCCAAGCCTGGTGGGCAGCAGAGGGATGAGAAATGAGTATGTTGTGTCCACTTTGGGGGAGTATGCAACTGAATTATATATGAAAGTCAGAAATACTCTTACTAGTTTCATTAGACATGATTAAACTCTTTTTATATATTCAGTGGAAAAAGGCCTATACCGATTAAAAACCGCTTGCTGTGGAAGTGAGTGTATAGTAGCTGCACGGGATGGGAAGTTAGTGTATAGTAGCTGCACGGTTGGTTGTTACTGAAATAAGCATACATGATGTGACTGGATAACCGAAGACGAAACAAATAGCATTAGACTCATGTCCTAGGCTCAATCTCTTGTGTCTTGAAGTTTTCGGCCCCTGTGTGGGCCGGCCAATCGTGTGTGCTTGGAATAAAATAGAGAAGAAAAATACTGCTTACCTTTAAGTAGTGGGGGCTCTGCTCTGCTGCACAGGGCCCCCCTCAAGGGAAGATGGTGCCGACAGCAGCAGAGTGGAGAGGCCTTCCCCCCACCCCGGGCCCTGGGACGCCACTGAGCCCGAGCTTTAGACTTGGTCAGCCCTCAAAGGTGGCTCTTCCCAAACCCACGTTGGAAGGTGCACAGCTGTGTGCCGCAAGGCCCACAGTCCGGGGTCGGCGAGGGGTCCGTTTCCTTTACTGTTTGAAAGGGAAACGGGACAGGGCACCGGTTCTCCGAGATCTAAGGAAGTTGAGGTCTGGGGACTAACTCCCCCAAATCCAGTGGTTTTGTGCGTGCTGTCCCCAGGTCCCCGGCCAGCAGCACCAGCTTCTTCAGAACACGGGGCTTGAGGTGACGGTGGCCTCTGCCCAGCCTGAGAACCCAGCAACCCGTGTGGTTTGAGCTGCTTTGCCCTTGACGAGTGGACACACCGTCTAGATGACAGTGACCCGTGCAAACGTTGGGCATTTCATGTTCGTGTGTTTTGGAACCGGTACAGTTACTTTTCGGTTGTCTCGAGGGGCTCGGTTCTGTTCTGCCTGGTGAACAAGGTCCCTGCCACCAAGTGAGGGACGACAGCATGACCTGCACGGACAAACAGGCGGCGTCCTCGGGTCCCTGGACAGTGCAGGGAGGGGACCCAGGGTCCTCTCCTGGCCGGTGGCCTAGAGCTCTTCGGCCATCTGTTTCCCAAGGCCGGAAGAGTGGGTGCCACCCCCTGGGGGGGAGGGGGACATGCTGTCCTTTTGGCCAGTCCAGAGCCCGAGCCCTTTTCCTCCCGAGATTTGCGAGGCACCCGTTTTTTACTGAGTTCCTTCCTTCTTTCATTTTTTGCTTCCACTTTGATCCTTTTGAAGTGCAGCTATTTGATCTTTTTAACATGCAAACCATATCACGTCTCTCTTCCGTGGTTAAAATGGTCCCAGGACCTCCCTCGCCCTCAGGGAAAAGCCCAGGGTCCTCCAGCCTCTGAGGGTCTGGCCTGTGCCCTCGGCCCTCAGGCAGGTGAGGGCTCTGGCCAAGGCCGACTCCCACTCCACTCTGTCCTCCTGCTCGTAATTAATTTTGATGCTGCTTTTCCCCAGAACCCGAGCTCTGGCACCTGTCCCCTCCTCAGGACGTGCGGAGTGAGCTGTTCTCTCGTGCTGGCCCCCGTGTGCTGACACACGCACCATGACAGCAGGACACTGGCCCGCGGTGTCCCAGGCCTGTGGGGGCTGGGGGACTCTACTCAGGGGACCAGCCTCGCAGTTTCCGGTGTGTCCCCTGCCGCTCACTCTGCCCCGTGCCTTGTGTTGCAGTTCGGGGCTGAGTTCCGGAGGTTCTCCTTGGACCGGCAGAGGCCTGGGAAGTTCGAGGACTTCTACAAGCTGGTCGTGCACACTCACCACATCGCCAACACCGAGGTGACGATCGGCTACGCAGACGTGCACGGCGACCTGCTGCCCATCAACAACGACGACAACTTCTGCAAGGCGGTGTCCAGCGCGAACCCGCTGCTCAGGGTGTTCATCCAGAAACGAGGTGCGGGGGACGGGGGGAGGGCGTGGCCCAGGGTCTTCATCCAGAAACGAGGTGCGGGGTGGGGGGCTGCGGCTCAGGGTCTTCGTGCAGAAATGAGGGACAGGGCCGTGGCTCTCAGTCTTCGTCACAGGTGGACGCCGTGCTCGGTTCTGTCTGTCATCATGGGACCCTTGTCTTCCCACCTGTGGCGAGAGATGAAAGAAGTCGACATTTGTTTTGCCGACATTTATCAGCAAAGCTTAAAAATATCTAAACTGAGTTTTCCGCTTTTAATACTGTTGACTTCTGATGTTTAAATACTAAAAAAAAATAATATTAATACATTCAGTGTTTTAACTGGAAGCAAGTTAACTTGATAACCCAAGAATGAGACTTAAGGCCGCCAGCGCATGTTTCCCACTGTTTTTTATTGGAAAAAGACATTAGCTTCCGAGGATTACTTCGGTTACCTGTAGCCCCGAAGGCCTAGTTTTGCTGTGAGTAAAACATCCTATGCGAAAATAAATTTCTGACGTAGACCAGGGGTCGCTACAGTGGCCTCCATGTTGCTGTCCACTCAGAGAGGCCTTTTGGATGTGTTGTCTCATCTCTGAATTCGAGAGAACCTGAACATTTCAACGTAGTACACAGTTGACCCTTGAACAAAACGGGAGTTAGGGTGCAAGCCCCCCACAGTGGAAAACCTGTGCATAATGACTCCCCAAAAGCATTGACTCCCCTCGGCATCCACCGGTGTGTGTGTTTCTGTCTGTCTGTGTCTGTCTGTGTCTATCTGTGAGTGTGTGTGTGTGTGTCTGTGTGTGTGTCTGTGTGTCTGTGTATGGTGTCCAGGCTACCCCGTGGACACCAGAATCTAGGGCCTCGGGTCCCCACGCGGGGGGTGCGCAGGGGGCGGCGTGCGCGGCGTGCGCGGACTCCCCATGCGCGTGGGAAGCAGCGCAGGTGCTCGCTGCGCAGGTCACGCCCGTGGCGTTCGAGGGTCAGCTGCAGCCAAGGCAGGGGCCACCTGAGGGGAAGCCTGACCTTCGGAAAATGGCCCCCGTGATTGGTCTGTCGCTGCTGTCCCGCGGGCTCCCGGGGCGGATCTGTCCGCAGCAGGCGCGCGTCTGCTCGTGAGGGGCGTGGGCGCGGGGTGCACGCGGGGTGAACACGGGGTGCACGCGGGGTGCACGGCCTTGTCGTCCGCCGTAGGGACCAACCAGCCTCTGCGCCGCCGCGTGCGGAGGTGGCGTCAGGCTCTGCGGAAGGCGCCCTTGGCTCTAGCGGCCGGTGCTGGTGACACTTGGCGCCTGCGCAGTTGACTCGCGCTGAGGTGACACAGGCGGCCGAGGGGCCGCATCCTGTCCGTTTGTCGCTCCTCCAACCGTGCGGTCAGAGACGCAGCCGGCGTCCCACGGCTGGCTTCGGCCCGAGCAGGTGGCCCGCAGCCCCTGCCTCGCCCTGGGGACGCTGCGGCCCCTCCCACTGCCCGCGCGGGCTCCGGCTAGGGCTAGGTGGGAGGGCGGGGGACGAGGAGGCTCCCAGCACCCGTGTTGAGGACAGACGCGGCCACGTGAAGGGTGGTGTCCATCCCAGGGGATGCTCAAGTCCCACGTGCTTTTCCCACAGCAGAGGTGCCGAGATGTCAGTCACAGTCGTGCCGTTTTCACAATTTTACTATTAACACGCCCAGCCTGTCATTTACTCAGTAACTTCCTGTGCATTGATGTGTATTTTAAGAACAAACTATATTATCACAAATGAAAAGTCAGCATTCCTCTAATAGATGGTGAACTAAACTCACGGTTACAATTAAGAAAATTAATTTGTTTGGCACTCCTTGCTCTCTTCCCCCAAACCACACACAGACATCACAGTACAGCTACAGACCAACACCCCTTGTGAATATAGGGGTACAGGCCTCCAGGAAAACGCTAGCGTGTGGAGAGCATGTTTCCGCCCAGAACCGTAGATGTGAATGTTCGGTGCAGTGTTACCGACGATTGCAAAAGGTGGAAACACCAGATGTCCGTTGGTGGAGGATGGATAAACAAAACGCGGTCTGTCCCTACAGTGGGCATTACTCAGCCGTGAAAGGGGGTGACGCTCTGAAGGAATGCAGCGACAGTAGGGGCCTCGAAAAGGGCGAGGTGAAGGAAGCCTGTCCCAGAGGGCCACACGTTACAGAGTTCTGTTTACAGTCTATCATTACATGCAGATTCCGCATTGATGCATGTGCTAAAATTGATGTGCAACCCCAAAATCGACACTTCCATAGCCATTGGTGGATGTACTCGGCCCTTAACAGTTTGCGCTGCCTGCGGACGCTTCCCATGCGTAAACGAGCACCCTTTCCACAGTCCGTTTACCAGTTCTCCTGCTTTTTCTTTAATGTAGTAAAATACATTTAACACAAACTTTATCACTACAGGCGTTTTGAAGTGTGCAGTTCAGTGGTATTGAACACATTCATGGTTGTGCAGCCGTCACCATCATCCATGCCCACAACGCTTTTCATCTTGTAGATATGAATCACTCTACCTCAAAAAAATTCCCCATTCCCCCTCCCTCCAGCCCCTGGCAACTACCTTTCTGCTTCCTGTCTCTATGACCTTGCTACTCCAAGTACCTCACAGAAGGGGAGTTGCACAGTACTGATCTTTAGGTGTCCGTCTTACTTCGCTTACACTGTAATGTCCTCTAGGTTCGTCCATGTTGTAGCAGGGGTCAGGGTCTCCTTTTTAAGGCTGATTGACATTGATTGCATTGTGGGGATGGACCACATTTTGCTTATCCATTCACCTATCGATGGACACTTGGGTTTCATCCACATTTTAGCTATTGAGATAATGCCGCTGTGAACATGGGTGTGCAAATGTCTCTTTGAGCCCCTGTTTTCAGTTTTGGGGGGCTTATACCCAGAGGTGAGATCGCTGGGTCATTTGGTGGTTCCATTTTCAATTTTTCGAGGAAACGCCACACCATTTTCCAAATGACCGCCCCGTTCCGCAGTCCCACCGATAGTGCACAAGAGTTCCAGTTTTCCGCATCTACAACACGTGTTTTCTGCGATTCCGTTGGCAGCCATCCTAATGGGTGTGAGCTGGTACCTCATTTGTCGTTTTTATCCGCATTTCCCGAATGATTAGTGATGCTGAGCATCTTTTCATGTGCTTGTTGGCCATTTGTGTGTTCTTCGGAGAAACGCCTATTCAAGTCTTTGCCCATTTTTGCACCATGTTGTTCTTTTCCCGTTGTCGAGTTTTAGGAGTTCTCTATTCTGGAGATAAATTCCTTATCAAAGGTATGATTTGCAAGCATTTTCTCCCATTCTTTGGGTTGCCTTTTTACTCTCTGGATTGTGTCTTTTGATGTAAAATTTTAAAAATTTTTCATTAAGTCCAATTCGTCTATTTTTTCTTTTGTCACCTGTGCCTTTGGTGTCATATCCAAGAAATCCTTGTGCAATTCAGTGTTGTGAGGCATCTTCCTATGTTTTCTTCTAAGAATTTTATAGTTCTAGGTCTTACGTGTAGGTCCTGGATCCGTTTTTAGTAATTTTAGCGTATGGAGTTAGGTTGCATGTGGATATCCAGTTTTCCAATACCATTTGGTGAAAAGACTGTCCTTTACCCACGGAATGCTCTTAGCACCCTTGTCAAATATTTGACCGTACGGGTGAGCGTTAATTCCTGGGTTCTCTGTTCTATTCCCTTGACCTGTATGTCTGTCTTCACGCCAGTGCCACGCTGTTCTGATCACTGTAGCTTTGTAGTAAATGTTGAAATTAGGAAATGTGAGTCCTCCACTTTTTTCCTTCATTTTCAGGATTGTTTTGGCTGTTTGAGGTCTCTTGAGATTCCATATGAATTTTAGGAAGGTTTCAATAATTCTACAAAAAAAGACATTGGGCTTTTAATAGGGATTCCATTGAATTTGTAGCGTGCTCAGGGTAATACTGACATTTTAACAATATTAAGTCTTCCGATCCATCCATGATAATGAGGTGTGTTTCCATTTATTTATGCCTTTAATTTCCTTCAGCAGTGTTTCATAGTTCTCATTGTACAAGTCTTTCACCTCCTTGGTTAAGTTAATTCCTAAGTATTTTATTCTTTTTGCTGCTACTGTAAATGGAATTGTTTTTTGTAATTTTATATTGCTCAAAAACACAATTGTTTTTGTGTGTTGTCTTTGTATCTTGCTACTTTGCCAAAGTCATTTATCAGATCTAACAGCTTTTTTTATGGAATCTTTAGGATTTTCTATGTATAAGATCATATCATCTGCAAATAGAGATAATTTTACTTCTTTTTTTCCAATATGGATGATTTATTTTTATTTTTATTTTATTTTAAGATGTTCTTGTCTTATTCCTGATCTTAGAGGAAAAACTTTCAGTCTTTCATCATAGAGTGTGATGTCTGTTGTGGGTTTTTCATACATGGCTGTTACTATATCGAAGTAGTCTCCTTCTATTCCTATTCTGCTGAGTGTTTTTACAATCAAAGGGTCAGATGCTTTTTCTACACCAGTTGAGACAATCACGTGCTTTTCTCCTTCATTTCGTTATGTGGCATACATACTACATTGATTTTTTTATATGTTGCGTGTTGCATTTCAGGAAAAATCCCACTTGGTTTTGGTATATGATTCTTTTAATATGCTACTGAAATTTGTTTTCTAGAATGTTGTTCAGCATTTTTGCATCAACGTTCATAAAGATATTGCTCTGTAGTTTTCTTCCCTTGTGATGTCTTTGTCTGTCTTTGGTATCAAGGCAAATAGGATGAGTCGGGAAGTGTTCTCTCCTCTTCAGTTTTGGGGGAAAGTTTGAGAAAGATTGCTATTAGTTCTTACTTAAATGTGTGGTAGAATTGACTTTCTCCACATCTTCCTTTGGTTCTTTGCGCATCTTTAAGACTATTGTTTTTAAAGTCTTTGTTACTGTATCTGCCAGTAAGTCTTTTTCGGGGACAGATTTTGTTATTTTTTGAATAGATCGTACTCTCCTGTTCCTT